AGAATATACCATAAATAAAGCGTTTAAATATAGTAATTAGTTGTGAAAGTATATATATTTTAGATTTTATTAATTATTTTCTTTTTTTAATTTTGCCAAAATTTAAGGAAAGATCCGATTGAAGATTTCCGGGTCAAAATTAAACAAATTTGACCCGATTTGGGTACCCCAAAAACTGCTGCAAAAATGTATAGTAGATCTTTCCATATATCTTCAAAAAGTTTTTATAACAAATATTTATATTAACATTTTGCATAGCAATAAAAATACTAATTTATAATAATCAAAATATTCACATAGAAAAATCATATACACATACAGAAAAAAGAACTATATCTATCATCATTTAAGCCGTTGCTTTATTTAAATTAAAAAAAAAACATAAAAACTTGAAATCATATACTTTATATGATAAATTTGAAATATATATTAGTAGTATAAATTTAAAATCGTTCAAAGAACGGTATATCACGGGTGAGATCCTAAAATTATTAGATTTTATAACAATAATAATTTATTTTCTTGGATTTTATAACACTAATAATTTAGCTAACGAGATAATATAGACGGGTTTATATGGGATGACGGGTTTGGGTCGATATTAATAAATAACGGTATATCACAGATGAAATCCTAAAATTGACAATCAAAATACAATTATACAATCTTAAACACAAAACAAAAGAAACAATATTAACAAAAAAAATCCAACTTAAATTTAAAATTTTTAGTTATAAAAAAACAAACCCACGGTAAACTGCAGAGTAAAATATTCAAAATTTTAAAATCCACCATACATCGTTACTTAAAAAAAATGTATGTTTTCGTATCTATACTTCAAAAATTGATAGATAGATATCTACATTTAAAAATACAAATTAATATGATATATTTTTAGTTAATCTTTTAAAAAATAACATTACATTTTTTTAAAAAATATAGCCCCGCTGTATACCGCGGGTTAAATTCTATTTTCCAGATCAAATCACAAATTTTTTTAAAGAAAAATAAATAAAATTAGATTAGGATCAAATCACTACAAGAAAACACGTCATTTGCGACCCCCATATTGGTTGCAAAACGGTCGCAAAATAGGGTTTTGCAACTGAATAACGACTATTTCCATTAGTCGCAAAAAAAACGGTCGCAAAATTTATGTGTCTCATTATAGTCGCTAATTTGCGACTATTTGGCGACTATAAATATATCGTCGCAAATTAACGACTAATCTGTGACAGGTGAATATCGTTGCAAATTTGCGACCAAAGAGCAACGAAAGGATGTTAGCGACTCATTTGCAACTGTAATAACCTTACATATTTGGGCCAATTTGCGATTCGTTTGCGACCGTTTTGGAGTTTCTTGTAATAATGTTTAGTCACACATTGGTCACATTTGTTAATTAGTTTGGTCACAGATTGGTTACTCGTTAATAATCCCAAACCTGCAAATTCGCTTTCAAATGCAAATAATCCTAAACCTTCAATACTGATTTCAAATGCAAATAATCCATCATTCAAAAACACTAATAAAAACCATCCTAACAAAGTATTATAGAGTACAAAAACATAAGCAAATAAAAGACTAGTTCATAGGGTTTGAATCAGTGTTACATAAAGGAGAGGCGGGTGTGGTTTCAGTAGGTGCGAGTCCAGCTGGTTGGATTGCTGCTTCTGTGGTTGTTGGAAGGGTGCCTGTTTGTGTGATGGGTGGTATGATGACTGTTGGGTGGTATGATGACTGCGGTTGTTGGTGGTTAAGAAGCTACGGTGGCTGCTGCGGTTGCTTCTGGCTGTTGAGTAGCCAATAATTCTGCAAAGGCAGGATCTTTGTTCCTCATGTAGGAGACCATCATTTCCAAGCTTGTGATACGACTTTGATCTTTGTGTCGCTCCTCGTCACGTCTAGCATTTTCTTGGTCCACTTCAGCAAGCTTACGACGAGCAGCTACAAGATCTTCTTGCATCTCTAACAGTGAAGACGAAGAAGAGCTTCCATAACTCTCCTTTCTCTTCCCATTTTTGATCGTCTCTTTCAGCTGTCCAAGTCGAAAGGGGTTTCCCTTATTATCTTGGAAAGTACACTAAACACAAAAACATTTTTAGTTGTAAAGAAAGAGAAGAGAAACTGTAAAACAAGAGAAGAGAAGAGAAAACATTCATTCTCATAAAGAAAGAGAAGAGAAACTGTAAAAAAAAGTCAATCAAAACAAAAGAGGATTATAAACATAGAAACAAGAATACAATTAAGTGTTTACTCAAAACCAGAGAATCAACATCAAGTAATCTCAAATTTCTCTCAAACGTCCAAAAGAGCAATCAAAACTAGTCAATAAACATCAGCAAAATCAGACAAAGAACATAAGCAAAACCAGAAAATGAACATCAACAAAATCAGACATAAACATGAGCAAAACCAGACAACGAAATTCAGAAAACCAGACTCTACTCTTAAGCAAAATCAGACATAAACGTGAGAAAAGCAGACAATATTACTCAGAAAACAAGACTCTCAACATCAGCAAACCAGACACTCAATATCATTAAACTAAAGTCGAAATTACCTTAAGAAATATGTCATCTTTAAAAACGAAGCTATGAAACAGTCACACTTTATCCATTGTCATTTGATATCATTGGTTACAACAAAGGCATTGATTACCCAGAACACTTTTATGAGTACCATACTCTAGATTTAGACTCGTAGCAGCTTGTTTTGAGCTCTTGTAATCACATACCCAAAGACTCCAAATTTATGACCCAAACACTCCAAATTTTAAGACCCAAACACTCCAAATTATCAGCAATTGACGTCTTATCAAATCACTAGCTCCTCTCATATTCAAAATCGAATTCATCTTAACCCAGAAACGAAAGCATGAGTCTTATATTCAAAATATGAAAAAGGGATAAATCTCAATCGAAATTGTCAAGCTCCAAAGACCAATACCAAGAGGAAACGAGAAGATGTTGTCTTACCATATAGTCTCACGATCAGGGATATCATGTTGACTCAAGATTGGTAGATGTTGTCTTCCAGGAAGAACCATTAAAGCATCCAACAACTGCTGAAAGTCTTGTTGCTCATGATTCGGCTCCTGAGGCGGCGGTTGATGCTCCGGATTTGGAGGAGGCGGCGGTTGATGATGGGGATTCTGGTACATTGGTTGTGAAGCTTGAGCCGCTGGTTGTGGCTGACGGAGAGGTCGTTGTTGAGACGATGATGGATATTGACTAGGTAACACCGGCTGAGAAACCGAACCTGTCTCGTAAGATGACGGGTTGGAGGAGTGAGAAGACGACCCACCAACTCCGTTTGATCTACCGCCACTGTTAATTCGAACACCACCGCCGGATCTGCCAAAGAGAAGCGCCGGAGAGGAAGCAAACAAGAGGAAGAGAGCGCCGTAGAGGAAATGGCGGAGAGAAAGCAAACAAGAGGAAGAGAAGCGCCGGAGAGGAAGAATTTCTAGAGAGATTCTAGGGCTTCTCTTGTTTTTGTTTTGGAAAGTGTAAACACTTTTGCTTTTCGAGATATGTAAAGGGTCAATAAACACTTAATTATATCACCAAATTATTTTGAACCGGGAGAAATAAATTCCCGCTTAATATTTGATGAAAATCTGAATTATTTTGTATCAGTCACAAAACGGTCGTTGTTTATACTCAATCCCTAAACATTATACCCTTATGAATTTCACATTTGGTCGCTATTTAGTTGCACAACGGTGTCAAATAAAAAAATTGTGGGGAAATCGAAACCACCCAAACACTTAGCAAAAATCTTAGAAATTTCGCGATTAGTATCAAATTCCTCGAAACATTGGTCGGCAAATAGTTGCAAGAATTGTTGCAACTCTTTTGTGACTGTCGACTATTAGTCACAAGCCAAAATTTAGAAATCTACACATTGTCATCCAAAATGGTGATATATATCACTCAAAAACACTCATATTAGTGTTATAGAGGACATATATTAGTTTAAGGTTGAAAAACTTATCAAAACTCAAGTAATATAGATATTTTACTAAATCCCTAAACATTACTCATAAGAGTATCAAATTAGTCGCACCATTGGTCGGCAAATAGTTACAACTGTTGTCGCAAAATAGTCGCAAACTTAGTAATAGTTACAAAATGGTGGCAATTTTGCGATTGTCTTGTGACGGATATCTATTAGTCACAAAATAAAATTTAGAAAGATACACATAATGATCCAAAATGGTGATATATATCACTCAAAAACACTCATATTAGTGTTATAGAGGACATATATTAGTTTAAGGTTGAATTTTTTTGCAAAACTCAAGTTATATAGATATTTTACTAAATCTCTAAACATTATTCATAAGAGTAATGTAACAAGACAAAGAGATTTGAATGTTTTGAATGTTTTGTTTTTAAACATCAATATTAATGTCTTTGGTTAAGTTTTTATTACTAAGTAACATCAAATGAGTGTAGAATTGTTTAACTTTATATGCAAACAAATTTAAAATGTGAAAATTGAGAAAACAAAAATCGAGAGTTGGTAAATAGTCGCAAACTGATCGCTTTATCAGGTGTCAGTCGCAAAATCCTCAGGTGCTAGTTGCAAACCGGTCGCTATCGCTGCATTTTTAACGTGTTTTATACCAACTCTTTCTAACTAATTTGCAACGAAAGTGTAACTATAACAAGTGGTTGTTAACTAGTTGCACATTTGAGACTACATTGCGATGATCATTTGAGACCAAAAGTTGAGTCGCACATCAGTCGCATATCAGCCACCCATTTGCGACTGTAATAAATTAGTCTATAATCGGTCTTAAAATCGTCGCAAATTAACGACCAAGTAAAGACTATTTGTTTTAGTCGCGGAATAGCGACTATATTCCATCGGTAAATATTGTGGTCGCTAAATGGTCGTTCAAAAGTCACAAAATAGTCGCAAACATTTGCGACTAATAATTCGGTCGCAAAGTTTAGTTGCAAAACGCAGGTTTTCTTGTAGTGAATGAGTCACTAAAGCTATAAGACATGAAGTTCATTACATTAGTATTCATTGCTTTTTTTGTCGTCCTTGGATCCGACCAAAGAGTGGTGGTTAGAGTCGAGGAGGAGGAGAAAGTGGCGTGCATCTGGACAGATCTTCGAGTATGTCTGTCGGTGGTACAAGCCGAAAGCCAACCATCCATGCAATGTTGCATAAAACTAAAAGAACAAGCATTTTAGTTATCCGCATGAGCGGTCTCATTAATCTTTTCCGCTATTAGGAGTGCCACAAATAAATCCAAAAATTTGGTATACCCACATGACATATACAGTTTTTGCTGGGTAATGTGGTTTTCATGAAACGTGGTATACGTTTTCTCAAGCATCTGAGAATCAGTGATAAGATCACCATAATATTTTAGTTTAACCACAATTTCCATCATAGCGGAATTATAATCCATCACTTTATCAAAGTCTTTGAACTTTAGACTTTGCCATTCATCCCGAACAAGTGGGAGATTTATTGCCTTTCGATTATCAAATCGAGGTTTTAGGGATTCCCATATCTCTTTGTTAATTTTCAGAAAATGATCAGAAGTTGATCTAGAGTCCAAGATATATGCAGGACTTAGGAATAGACAGTACCTTTATCATTACTTGGCGTATGAACATCTCCACAAACTCCTCAGCCATCTTCTCTGTGATCATATCAATATGGCAAGTACCAAACCTTAGAGACCACACATGAGAATCAACTATTGAACTTTTGTTTTTGGGTCTTACCAAATGTAGAGACATTCCAAAAATTAAATACAGGGATGCCACCACAATCTCCAGCATCACTGGAATCTTCCTTAGAGCAAAAGAACTGTACAAGTGACTCGGTACGTATCTTGGTATAACATCTCAGAGATCTGCTTGCATTTACCATCTCAACAACAACAGCTACCTGCATTTTTCTAAAGTTTTGTTTATAGATTCCAAATTACAAGAGAATAAATTTCCCAAATTTACAAGATTTAGCATTGTCACACTCACCATTTCCTTGTACGACGATAAAAGCTTGATTCGATAAGCACTCTGAAAATAGAAAGAATTAGTATGTGAGTTAAAACGAAAGAGATTGAGCTCATGAGAATGAAACGAAAGACGAAGATAGTATTGAAATGCAACTTTTCACCTGTTGCTTAGACAGGTTCTTCAAAGCGTTCTTCTTGATATCAAACATGTCACTCGACACACCAAGCTCCATCATTGGCATATACCTATTGCCATGGAAAAACAAAATATTAAGAATCAATCTTCTTACTCAAACACTCCTCAAATCACCAAAGTGAAACCAATTCCAAAACGATTGCTTTTTAGACGTTCTAAAGCAGAGAAAAAAAAAACATCAGTGAGAGCTTCCGAACAAATGAAATCATAGATTCTGTTTCAGCGATATCTAATAAACTACTTTTCACCCATTAACAAAAATACTCCATCAAAATAAAATAAAAACACATAGGAAGCAGACAAAAAGAAAGACAAACACTTTATCAAAGCCAGAGAGAAAAAGAGGGTTGATTACCAACTCGAGTTTTGTGGGTCTCGACCCGTACCCGCAGACACCGTTCTTAAGTAATATATACAATCGGTCGTTCGGGATACGATTCACTTCCACCACCGTTTTGCAACCCTAACCGCTACATCCAAGCTACAAACGCCACATTAAAACAAAAAAAACAAAAACTTTCAATTCCCACATAAACCCTAATCAGACACTAATCGTAAAGAAGACAAAGAGTACCATTAACGTTACCGTTGATGCTGGTCACGTTTTCTGGGGCGGTCCATCCGTTACCGTTGATGTTGGTCACGTTTTCTGGGGCGATCCATCCAAGTAATGAATCCGACCGCAAACCATCATCGCCGGTGCCACCGTACCTAAGTGGTCTACTTTGAAATCAGACCGATTGTGAGCCGTAATACTTCACGTATTTCTCTCTACAAACCTGCTTGTGTATGCAAATCCATCCTGCAATCATACGTAAATGTAAACAACATTAATATTTTTATAAAAATCGAGCCATAAATAAATTACAGAAGAAAAAAAAAACAGGGGTTAGTTGTGATCTAAAAGTGACTACCAAGCAAGGTATTTATATGAAATTTAAGAGGCGGTGTAATATCTACAACAAAAAAGGAAGATTTATATATTTTTTAAGAAGCGAATCTTTATCATAACAATTAATAATTTAAAATTGTCTTATTCAATATTATACATATTAATTTTAAGTAACGTTTCATTTTATTTTAAGATAAAGATGGAATAATAACATAACGATTTAGATTTACTACTATATCTTACATTTGTTTAGATTTTCCATCATTATCGACATAAAATATTTAAAAAATAAAATTTTATTAGAGATATGAATCAGATTTAAAGAATATACGTAGGATTGTTTTGATATTTTTTGCAAATATCTACTTATCAAAAAGGGAAATGTTAAATTTTAACTCATAATTATCACAAACGATTGGTTGGGAAAGAAAAAACAACAAAAAAAAAAACGGAAAACAAAACGAAAAAAAAAAGAAAAAGAAAAAGGAAGACACACGACCATTCTCCGTCTCCTTCTACGAAATCCCACGTTTTTTATTACGATCAATGGAGATTAATACACTTTCATCCAGTCTATACTCATTATTCGTGCATGATATCCAATCAGATAATCCAAGGTAATTTTTTTTTTTTTTTTGGTGAATCCAAGGTAATTTTAAAGAACATCCTCTTTTATTAGCTTGAACTGTATGATGCAGGATAGCATCAATAATTCAATATGATGGTTTGAAAACTTGGCATGGACAAGATATTAATTAAGAGTCGTCTTTCCATCATTTCAGATTCGATCAAAAGGTGATGTTCTATCATTAAATTGTCGATTCTCTCTGGTTATATGCTATATTTTAGGTTTTCAAGTCCGCTATGTATATTAAAAAGTTTACATGCGACGAAGAACATGATGATGAGGTACGATGAACATCTTCTAAAGTGGTACGTAAATTACAATCGATCTATTTTTTTTAGGTTTTCTTATTTTTTCGTGTTTACGAATATTATTAATTTTAAAAAATGTTACAATCGATCCATTTTTTTTAGGTTTTCTTACTTTTTCGTGTTTACTAATTTTATTAATTTTAAAAAATGTAAATTATATCAAATATTCACTTATTAGGGTTATTTATGTAATTGAACATTAGTTGATATTCGACTTGATTTAATAGAGGGTATTTAAGTAATTACGTAAAATCAAGGACTCAACAAGAGCCGAGAGTCCGACACATCAGCAAAAACACTTCTCAAATATTGTTATTTATAGATTATCCGTGGACATGGATTATCCACGGGAAAGATAAAATGAATTCTTGTAATACGAAAGTGAATTTTTCTTCTGTTTTCCGTAAAGATCAGAACCATTTGTTCTTCTTGTGTAGTTTAGTTACTCTACTGAGTCTGGGAAAGTTTAACATGAGGCCTTATTCAGCATCACACTACAACTTACAACTAGGCCTGGGCAAAATACCCGGAACCGAATACCCGAACCGAAAAACTCGAACAATACCTGAACCGAACCCGAACCCGATTTTTAAAAATACCCGAATGGGTCCTAACCTCCTACCCGAAAAAAAACCCGAACCGAACCTGAACCGAATCCAATACCCGAATGTACCCGAATACAAATATACACATAAAAATATTAGTTATTTTTATATTTATAATACCCGAAATACCTAAAATTACAATCATAAATCCGAATATATTAGGTATTTTAGATATTTTTGGTTATATTTGGGTAAAGAGTAACCAATGTATTTTCGAGAAATCGGGTATTTCGGTTAGATTTGGGTATATATGAATTAAAAACCCGAACCCGAAAATATTCCGGGTATTTTTGGTTATTTTCGGGTATTTTGCTTTTTTATTAAAATACCCGAACCGACCCGAACCCGAACCGAATTTTTAGAATACCCGAATGAGTCTTAACCCCCTACCCGAATAGACCCGATACCCGAAAAAAAAAACCGAACCCGAACGGGTACCCGAATGACCAGGCCTACTTACAACGATGACCTCTAATATCGAATTCACTTTTCAACCGCACGTATCGCGTCTTCAAAATATTGTGCATTCTATTTGGCATGAACGGAACTACAAGAGACATAGGAGAACAAACAATTAACAATGTACTAGGATTTAACCCGCGGTATCCCGCGGGCGTAGATTTTGTGCGGTTTTCTTATTAAGTAGTTGATTATGTTTTATATACATAATTTATAAAATTGGTTTTTAAATTAAATCCTTTATAACTAATAAGTGGTATTTTAATTGGTTGGTTGTTATTTAATACTTAGAAGAATGTGATTTAATATATTTAAATAGGTGTATTAATTATAAAATGGGTTTGTAATGTTAATATAAGTAAAAGTAGATATTAAAATGTGAAATAGTAAAAGTGGTGTAATTGTTTTTGTGATTATAAGTGTTCTTTTACTATATAGTTTTGAAGAGAATTTGTTTTTAGCATAACAAAGATTCTAACATTTATAAAAAAATTTTTAAAAATTGAAGATAAAGTAAACAAATTAAAATTATGTTTTTAAAAAAATTAAAGACACATAAGTTGTGTATTTAAATAAATAAAAAAAACAAAAAAAAACAAAAAAAAAAACATATGAGAACGATGATTCTCGTTCTCCACCGAAAGTTTACATCCATTGACATGCTTAAGCTTTACCGATGATACCGAAGAAGCTGATAATCAGATCATAAGCTCACATCAATAGACATGTTCTCTGCGCCAATTCTTCTTAATTTGTAAGCTTCATTCTAATTCAATTGAATTGTTTCAAGATAATTTAGATTCTGTGATCAATTACCTTTTTCAGATTTCATATAGGATTCGGATAAAGCACTTGAGATGATGAATTTGTTTCTGTTAGAAATCTGGGAGAGGGGATCAGTGAAGAACAGAACCTGAATGAAACCATTTGCAGATCAAATTTTGCAAATCGACAACACTTCTATAAGGTTAGTTTTGGATCTGTTTTTTCAGTTGTAGACACAAATTGAAGTTGTTGTTTGTCTCAATCGGAGTTATAATTGAACTAAGGTTTCTTGATTTTGTTGTCTAGAAATGAACTCTTAAACTTACACTACTGTAGTTGCAGAGAGTCTGATTATGTTTCGATTAAAATGACTCTGAGCAGGAACTTGCTGTTCTAAAAAACAATACAAAACATCTACAAAGTTAAATAACAGAAGCAAAAAAACTAAAACTATCCTAATTCCTTAGGTTCTGAAAGATCTCTTTGAAGACGACATTCATTGTTTGACTCTGAGTTTTTCCTTCTTTATCCACAATAAGAACTTTCAAACCTTTTTTGGAAGTGACTCTTGATAAGGCAACATACAGCTGGCCATGAGAAAATACTGGTCTAGGAAGATAAATCCCTACCTCTTTAAGTGATTGTCCCTGGCTTTTGTTTATTGTCATTGCAAAAGCCACAGATATTGGAAACTGTCTTCTCCTCATGCGAAAAGGCAATTTGGTATCTGAAGTCTTTTCGCATGAGGAGAATCATTTAAAATATGGTTAGAATCAACTATGCAATCAAATTAGAATGTAAAAGAAAAAAGGAACTATTACATCAAACATCTCAGCGACTTCTTTGATGGTCTTCTTAGGAAACTGAAGATAGAAATCCCCTGTAGGCAGCTCGATCATTTCCTGCTTTGGTTTAGACTCAAGAAGAGTAAGAGCAAGCCCATCTCTTGGTAAACTTTCTTTGAAGGCGCCAATCTCAGGGATGTCTGGATTGATCAAGATCTGAGATGTATTGAAAGCATTGGAGATACTCCTTACATCTAGAAAGCAAAACATAAAGAAAGTGTCATTAGCTCAATTTTTAAAAGATTTTAAAAAACTATAAGTATGATATTAATACCAAAACAAAATACCTTTGTAAGTCTTGATCTTAGCATATCTCACCAAACATATGACCATCTCACCAGCAGAAGCTTCACAGGCAGTGAAAACTTGTTCTGCAAATGAACCCCATAGAGTACAGGGTAGCCTTTCATCCCTAAATATTGTAATAAGAATATTAGATTCAAAAATAAGACTCTTTAATTTTAATGCAGACAGAACTAATGAATGAAACTTACGTATGATCCCTCAGTTCAAAATCAATCTTCTTAGTAGGTTTATTTTGCACGTCGATAGTCTCCATTTCACCAACATTAACGATTTGACCGACAACATCTTGAACCAAAAGAGAATAACAAAACGTCAATATATATTCCATAAAGGATTAGATTTGAATGAAAATATAGCTCATATGAAAATGTACCAATCAAGTAGTTCTGGTTGAGACCACCAGTTAAAACATCATTGAAAGGAGTCAATGACAGGTAATAAGAATCAGACAATGGGTCCATCCTCAAAACTCTTGTTTGGGCCATGAAGCCCATTTTGTAACGATGATCAGTTGCTTTGAACTGACCAGTTGCATAAGTCAATCCAAAGTTTTCAATAGCCTTCCACTCTCCTGGAACCGTGAGCTTCTCAAAACGGTTGAGATGCTCTCTCTTCACAGACGCATGGATCTTCTTGCCCTACCATAGAAATAGAAATATATTAGTATATCATTAGACAACTTATTTTAATAAATTGAACTCAGATAGACATGACAAAGAATTCTTACTTTGACATCAGACAGAACCATGTCGAAAGTCTCACCAAACTTTGTGGTAAATGTCTTCCAGGTATGAAGGACACGGACCTGAACTCTCCAAGTGGTTTTGTATGGTTTGATGTCATCGAGGTAAGCAATTGCTTGAGCCATTTGTGATATCTAAATAAGAAGGATGCTAAGGTTAGAGGAATTTGAGTGATGGATTGGAAATGAGAATGACGTTGATATTTATAGCATTTTAGGATGCTAGGGTTTTTGGCTCCAATAATTTTAAAATCTAGGAGAATATCTTGGAGACAAAGCATAAAATCAAAGATACTATTAACAAAATATATTCGAATTTGGAATAGAATTGAATGATTGGCTATATTTAGATAAATGATGAATATTGTAGAGTTGGTTATGGTTAGGATTATATTTATGAGAGATAGTAATTACGATTTTTTTGGGATTAGGCAATATATGATCGAATTTGCAGTTATTATGAGAGATAATTACATCGAATTTGCAGTTATTATGATCGAATATGCTCATATTTAGATACCAAAAATGAACTAAATTTACAAAATAATTTGAATGGCTTAGATTGACTTATGTGGATGCTAAACCCGATTAAGAACTTGACTATGTGATTAAGAGTTAATTACTCCTAACCCACCCGAGTATTAACACGCGGATCTCTGAAAGTTTAATGAAACTTTATGACCAAATTGCCCTTGTCGATTTTGATTAACAAAGAACAAAATCCAAAATTGAAATTGAAATTGAGGCTAAATTTGACCATTTTTCAATTTGTACTTCCCTTTTAATAATAAGGGGATCATTTGGCCATTGACCAAATCTATTGACCGCATCGTTCGGAATCGACTCTTAACACTCAAGGAACCGGGTTCAACCATAGTAGAAGACCGGTTACATTTAACATTAAAACCAAAAAGAAAAATATACTTTTTTTTTTGGGTAAGAGAGGGGAAGACAATTGTCTTCCACATTTTATTACGAACTAATTAAAAAGGAATTACAACCGAACATGACGTGGACTTTCTGTCCCAACCGAATCTGCTAGCATAATAGGACGAACAACACTAGGACAAGAATCAAATGAATGAAAACCTAACTGCAACGAGAACGCATAGTTCGCTAATCCGTCTGCAAGACGATTAGCCTCCCTATACACATGAGTAACCCGGACTATCCAGTCCCTTGAGAAAGAGCCATGGCACAAGCGTACCAGGAATGCCAGCGGATGAGCATCACTTATCCCTGACTTTAGAAATCCCACCACCAACTCAGAATCCACCTCCAACTCCACTCGCCTAAAACCTCGCTCCCAAGCGATCAACAGGCCATAGTAGACTCCCCACAACTCCGCCAACGGAGCCGAACATATGCCAATGTGGAGCGCAAATCCACCTAACCAGCGCCCTGCCTCGTCTCTAATAACTCCTCCAGCCGACGCCGGTCCCGGATTACCCCGACTAGCACCATCCGTAGACACTTTAACCCAACCTTCCCCCGGCTTCTTCCATGAGATCATTCTCTCCACTCTACCCGTGGCTTGTGAAGAGACCGTCACCAACTTATGCGCTTCCAAGACCTCCGTAGCTAGAGATGATGATGGTGAGAGAATGATAGCATGTGATGTATGTGAGATATGGCAGCACACAAGATGTTGTGGGATTGATGATACAGATACTTTGCCTCCACTTTTTGTTTGTTCTAATTGTTGTGAAGAATTTGCAGAGCAACAGAAGAAAGTGTTGCAGCCAAAGTATGAGTTTCCAAGTGCAGAGAATGTGTTTCTGATTGAATCAGGTGATGATTACTTTGGAGGAGATGAGAGATCTCTTGGTATGATTTTTCCTGAAGAAAACTTTCTCTTACAAAACCCCTTTTTGGATCAAACATTGTGGATAAATCAATTCTTTTGTAAATGAAACATGATTGTATATGATTTTGTGTTGTTTGATTGTCTCATCAATCTGATACAAAGGGAGAGTTTTTATAATTGTAATATGTTTTAAAAGTCTTTTATTATTATATTATTAAATCTTATGATCTTAAACATGTTCTCCCACTAATCAAACTTTTTAACAAAAGATCTTAACTACTGATCTTACATTTTTTTAACAATATTTTTACTCTAAGAACACCCAAAGGTGATCCCGCATTGAGGATGCCCTAATGCATTCATCTAACTTGAAAAAGAAAATTTAAAAATTAATCCAAGAAACTGAAAAGAACTAAAAAAAAAGAATAAAAAAAATAAGAAGGTAAATTCGCACGTGTGTGACTGACTGTCCAAAGTCCAAACTACGAACATAAAAGAGTTAACGAGGTTCTTATTTCTTCTCTCAACTCTTGTTTGGTCATAGCAATTCGCACGTACGAAACCCAAACACACAAGCGAACTTTCGATAAACAAAAAATCCCTTTAGGGCACAAAACAAAGCGAAGAAACACTTCTTCTTCTTCTTCAACAAAAAAAAACCCCAATTTCGCGGCTAAATCAATCGCTTCTACTGGTACGTACTCACTCTCTGAATTCTCCTTTAATCTTCGATTTATCTTTCTGGGTTTTGTTTCTCTCAATTCAATTTTGATTGATTTGACTGTATAAAGCTTGATACTTTTAAAACTTAAGATCTTCTCAAATTTGTCTTCGTTTTCGCTGTTTTCGATAGCTTATTACCTCGAATTTGTCCGAAATTCCGATCCTTTCAGAAATTTGGGTTTGATTTTACTTTCTTAGTTAGTCAATTTGTTTGAGCTCAGAACTTCTTTCTCTCTTACTTCGATCTCAAGAATTAATGTATGTGTTTGATTTTTGAATTCAGGTGGGTTTTTTTTAGGTCTTGGAATTTGAGAGAAGGAGACCAAATTTTATCTTAGATCTTCTTTAAAGATTGAGAATTTGGATGAAGCTGGATTTGGAAATTTGGATTTAGTTTCAGGTGGAAATTTTGTTGGAAGATGGGTTCAGATCAATGTTTTTCGAGATTGAATACACTTGAGATTAAAGCCCTAATTTATCAGAAAATTGGGTATCAGAGAGCTGATACTTACTTCGGTCAGCTCGGTAACTTCCTTACCTCGAGGATAAGCAAGTCGGAGTTTGATAAGCTATGTAGCAAGACGGTTGGTAGAGAGAACATTTCTCTACATAACCGTTTAGTACGTTCGATTCTCAAGAATGCAAGTGTTGCTAAATCTCCACCACCGAGATATCCGAAGAAATCCGGAAATGCGAATCAAAGTCAGTCTCTTTATGGGGATTCTGCGTTCCCTCCTTCGCCGAGGAAATGCAGGTCGAGGAAATTTAGAGATCGGCCTAGTCCGCTTGGTCCGCTTGGGAAGCCTCAGAGTCTCACTACTACGAATGATGAGTCAATGTCAAAGGCACAAAGACTTCCAATGGAAGTTGTCTCTGTGGAAGAAGGAGAAGAAGTTGAGCAAATGACGGGAAGTCCGAGTGTGCAGAGCAGAAGCCCTTTAACCGCTCCACTTGGCGTTTCTATCCATCTTAAGAGCAGAGCTAGAAAGTCTAGTTTCAGTTCATACAATGGTATCAACCGTGATACTTGTCAAAGCAGCGGCGAGCTACCTGATACAATAACGTTGAGAGCTCGGTTGGAGAGGAAGTTGGAGATGGAAGGGATAAAGTTATCTATGGACTCTGCCAATCTTCTTAATAGTGGATTGAATGCATATATGAGAAGGCTGATCGAGCCTTGTTTGAGTTTAGCCAGTTCTCGGGTGAGAGAGATGAACAGTCAACAAAAGCGAGCGGTGTCTAATGTATCAATGTTGGATTTCCGTGCTGCAATGGAGTTGAATCCCCGGGTTCTTGGAGAGGAATGGCCTATACATCTAGAGAAGATCTGTTACTGTGCTTCCGAAGAGTAAAGTTGTAGAAAAACGCCGTAATTTAGCAATACACCGATATCGTATTTGATTGACAGATTTTATACCTGTACCTGAGATTCTTTCCTTGGATTTGCGTGGAATTGCAATTAGAGATTTCTTGAGGAAGCTTTGAAGGGAAACAAAGATTCTTGGGGTTGTACAAGTTCTGATAGATATAATATAGTTTAAATACCCATTTGTTTAGCAGATATCTGCACTTTTTTTCTGTATTTTTTCCTCATGTCTAATGTAACAAATTTTCCATTAAAGCAAAAGAAAATTTTAGCAGTTCCATGACTCCTTCCTCTTACATTTCATTGAAGCAGAACATAATTCAGACAAATAAAAGGAAACGAAAACTCATTACTTTGTGAAATTAAACATGTCTGACATGACTAGTTCTTCCAAGCTCTTACATTTACCAACCTAATTCTACAGACAGTACAAAATCTCTTGAAGAATGCTAATTGCAGGTTGATGCAGCGAAAACTGAGCACTAAGGGAGGCAATGCTCGAGACGATGTAGAAAATATGTGAGTTTTTCAGCTTGAAATTGCGACTGGTTTTTCACGGTTTGCCATGTAAGTCATGTAGATTGTCCATACATACGAAAACGAGTTGCTTACAAGAGGCTGCGTGGAAATAAAAACAAGAGTAGCGTCAGTGCATCTTGATATACGCAGCAAGAACAGGAAAAGTAAAACGAGTGAAGACGATCGTTAACCAACGTTACCTGTAGATGAACGGGGAAGAATCGGAATGTTATAAAATCACATAGAGGCCAATACATGACACCGTTAAACATCGCAGGGAGTAAGTCCCTTTTCAATCTGGCAAGTATATCTGAACCGCTTTCCCCTGAACAAACAATGCAAAAGTAGTATAGCTTAGAACCTGTTTTAGCGTAATTAAATCACTGAGATACAAAATAAACTCAATCACTGCTATCAAAGGAATATCATTTTATTTTTTAAGACACATCCAAGATTAAGCAAACCTCTGACACCAAGAATTGAACCCAAGAATTCACCATTCAAGAAGCAGAGAAGAAACTTGTTCTGAAACCTATGTGACTAAGAGTAAACTAAGAATAGAAGCTACAATCTGACAGATTTGTTTATTCGAGACTGCGGGTTTCTGCTTATGTAAATAACCAATCAATCACCAGTTATCATTCTCACCACGACACAAACCAGCCACAAGCAAAAATTACTGTAACTGAAGTAATACTGATCTAGTCCAAAAGAATTTCATGTAGATAAGATTCAGAGTTGGATAATACTGTAATCTGGTGACGAATTTTCCACTGAATATAGAACAGCAGAGATTGCAAACAGGTTTGTAAATTTCTTCCTTTCCTAGCACAATTCTCGTTTCAGATATATACAAGAAGCTTACCTTGTAGAGATGCGTTCAATGAGAAGAAAATAACGGTCATGGTAGGCCCGTAGATCGCCTGTCCCATAGCCATTTTCTTAAACGTTGTGATCAAATCTTGTTTAGGAAAGAGTCTTGACATGAAATTGAACCAATAATGAAGTGTTGGACCCAAGACAAATAGACCATATCCTCCCATCCTTGCTGTTCTCACCAAGTCATATGACTCAGAGGAAGTTTTCGAAATTGTCTGTTCGAAAAATAAATCCAAAGTGAACCAATGTCATCCCTTAAAGTCAGTTTTCATAGAGTGAAATGAACAATACATTACAAGGAAATGGCTCAATTCACATCAAACAAGCTAAATCACCATTTCAAGACAGAAAGATTAAGACAAAGTAACCAATGTGACCTCTTATAGTCAGTTCTCATACACTACAAGGAAATGCATCCATTCACGTTAAACAGCTAAATCACCATAGTAATGGGACACTCTTGAAGTAAGACTAGGATGAAGTTTTCGCAATTGTCTCTGTCGAAAGAACAAAGACACAGCTTTGAAAGTCAATTCTCACAGAGTGGTAAGGCTCAAAAACTCAGATGGCTCAATTCACCTTAAACAGTTATATTTAACTGATTTCCTTGTGTTTTATTCCAATAAAAGATCAAACTTTACTCCTCCTAATCAATTGAGCGATAACTAAGGCATAAATTTCAAAAAGCATAAACATTTTTAGCAACCATACTTGGAAAAGGAAACCCATTTTCCAGTACCTGAGAAGACAAGTCGGCGGCAATGTAAATAAGAGAGCAAGTGACACTTTTGGTCACAACTGGGCGTGATTTAACCATACCAAGATACCATCCAACGAACCCAACTTTCGAAATCGACGCAGATGAAGAAGAAGAAGAAGAAGAAGAAGAAGAGAAACCCAAAGAAGGAGAAGGTGAGACTCCTGTTTCTTTTGCTCTCCGGAAATAAGGTCTCGATTGAGCAACTCCGGTCTTACCATACCGGTCTGTTGACGCCGCCGTGTTCCTCCGTATGAGCCGGGCGGTGTCGACGGCCACGTGCCTGAACAATGCTCTGCTCATTCTGGCTTCCGAGATTTTAGGGGTTGTTGTTGTTGTTGTTCAGGTATTAGGAAGCTTTGATGATGACTGCAAAAAGTTGATGGATTTTTCCAGTTTCTTCCATTAGTTGAGAAAATATCAAAAAGCTGTTCAATTTTAGTCGGTTTAGCTAAACCGCTAAAATGGATCAAAATCAAATTTTGTTTGTAAAATTTATAATTGTTTTCTGTCATTATAATATTTTATTAATTTATCATTTTTCAAACATTAATTTTTTTTATAATCAATATTTTTTTTAGAACTAGGTAATATTTAATGAAGCAATTATTCCGTTTAGAACCGTTCACAATTTTTTTTTATAGAGATTTTTATCGGGGATTTCATAACAAGTTATATCAAAGTTATCTAGTGTTTTTTTGCATTGGATGTAGGGGTTTTTTGTCTATGGTGTTGTGGTGTGTTTTCTTCGTTTGAATACGGCTTGGTTTGCAAAGCGTTACGTTTCAGTGAGGGCACGAGGTTGAATAGAGGCAGATTCGTCTAGTTGTTTTTTTCAATCCCGTGGGAGATGGTTCGACTAGCTTCTTGCTCGGGGAATGGTGGTCAGAGGCGGATTCTCTAGCTATCCGTAGATGCTCCCGTGCCGCCGGATGCGGTTAAGCCTCTCTAGCGATTCCGTGTTTGCGTTAGTCCTCGGAGAAGCTGTAGGCGGTCTTTTCTTGGAGGTTTTGAGGATGTGCCTCTAGAAGAAAGGTTTGCTCGTGGTAACGACGATGAGGATTCGAGTTCTTTGGAGCTGAGACAATCACGCAAATATCCGAGCTTTGCGGTTCAAAATCGGTGTTTCCTCTTCATAACTCGGCCGTTTGTTTCACTTTGTTTTCTTATCGTGATTTCTCTTGTATTCGTAGTTCTTTTAGTCGTAGTTTTTTGGTCTTTATACTTTCATTGTTTTCTTTGTATTATTTGTATCAAACTTGAAAACGGTATAAATACTTAACATTGATACCAAAAAAAAAATGTGTACAATATTGGTTGGCTAGCTAGGAGTATCAACTACTGATATAATGGTCCGATTAAGGAGTATTCAAATTGAACTGTAATTATGCTATTGTTCAAAATTGGAGTAATCTGAAAACTATGTAGATGACAAACATACCTCGCCTTCAAATATTTCTTGGTATAATAACCATAACAACGGTGGTTGTTATTAGTGTTAATAAATTGCAACTGATGGCTAGAGTTTTGCATTATTATCACTTCAAGTTGCATAAATTGCTTCGTCCCTTATATTATTCTGTTCACTTTCCTGCAAAATTTTGGAAGCACCACAAGTCCACAAGCTCTTAACCAAGAAAAACTTTTTTAAAAAAAGAGAGAAGCATGAGATTGTTTCTTTTGGTTTCTTTCTTTGCTTATATGTTACTTAAAGCATATGGTTTTACCGCTGAAACTGATAGGCAATCATTGTTGGAGTTCAAGTCTCAAGTTTCTGAAGGTAAACGAGTTGTCTTGTCCTCATGGAATAACTCATTCCCACACTGCAATTGGAAGGGTGTTAAATGTGGCAGCAAACACAAGAGAGTTATTAGTTTGGACCTCAATGGATTGCAATTGGGAGGGGTGATATCACCATCTATTGGTAATCTCTCGTTTCTGATATCACTTGATCTATCTAATAACACTTTTGGTGGTACCATCCCTGAAGAGGTAGGAAACTTGTTTAGACTTAAATACTTGTATATGGCCTCAAATGTTCTTGGAGGAAGAATTCCAGTTAGTCTATCTAACTGCTCTAGATTGTTGATCCTTATTTTGATTAAAAATCATCTTGGAGGAGGTGTTCCTTCAGAACTAGGGTCATTGACGAACCTTGGTATTTTATATCTTGGTCGAAACAACCTGAAAGGGAAGCTCCCGGCCTCTATTGGAAACTTGACATCCCTTAGATACCTTGGCTTTGGGGTTAACTATATAGAAGGAGAGGTTCCAGATAGTATGTCTAAGTTGACTCAATTGTTGCGTCTTCATTTAGGATCCAACATATTTTCAGGTGTTTTTCCTTCTTGTATCTACAATTTATCCTCACTTGAGTATTTATACCTCTTTGATAATGGTTTCTCTGGTAGCATGAGGTCTGATTTTGGGAGCCTGCTACCAAATCTTCAAGATTTAAATATGGGAAGGAATTATTACACAGGAGTCATTCCTACAACACTTTCCAATGTCTCGACTCTTCAACGCTTGGTAATGGAAGGAAACGATTTGACGGGTAGTATTCCTCATGGTTTTGGAAAAATACCGCGTTTGCGAATCCTAAGTTTAAATCAAAATTCTTTGGGAAGTCAATCTTTTGGTGATCTTGAGTTTCTTGGGTCTTTGACTAACTGCACCCAACTAGAAACTTTATATGTTGGTGAAAATAGATTGGCGGGTGTCCATTGCCAATCTGTCCAGGAGCCTCATCAATATATACCTTGCAATGAATCACATCTCTGGAAACATTCCTCATGACATTGGGAATCTCGTAAGCCTACGGTCACTTGATTTGGGAGATAATATGTTGACTGGACTACTTCCAACCTCTATTGGTAAGCTTTCAGAACTTGGGGTATTAAGTCTCTACTCAAATAGAATTTCAAGAGAGATACCATCCTCTATTGGTAACATCACTGGGTTAGTACACCTTTATTTGTTCAACAATAGTTTTGAAGGAACTATTCCTCCTAGTCTTGGTAACTGCAGTTACTTGCTAGAATTGTGGATTGCGTATAATAAGTTGAGTGGGATTATACCTCGGGAAATTATGCAAATCCCAAACCTTGTAAAGTTAATCATAGAAGGTAATTCTTTGATCGGCTCTCTACCAAATGATGTTGGAAGACTACAGTATCTTGTTCTACTTAAAGTTGGTAATAATAACTTATCAGGACAACTCCCACAAACATTGGGACAATGTATCTCGTTGGAAGTTATTTATCTACAAGGAAATTCTTTCGTGGGAGCTATTCCAGATATAAAAGCGTTGATGGGTGTAAAAAGAGTTGATTTGTCGAACAATAATCTCTCTGGAAGCATACCTCGATATCTTGGACACTTTCCATCGTTGGAGTATCTCAATCTATCTGTTAACAAGTTTGAGGGAAGGGTGCCAACAGAAGGAAAATTTCAGAATGCTACTATAGTTTCAGTATTTGGAAACAAAGATTTATGTGGAGGCATCCAGGAATTGAATATAAAGCCGTGCCCCTCGAAAGCACCACCAATGGGGACAAATCATTCCTCTCATCTAAAGAAAGTCGCAATTGGAGTAGGTGTAGGCATAGCTTTGCTTTTGTTGTTGGTTATGGCTTCATATTCTCTATGTTTGCTTGGAAAAAGAAAGAAGAATCTACAGACCAATAATCCAACTCCTTCGACTTTGGAGGCATTCCATGAAAAGATAAGTTATGGAGATCTCCGAAATGCTACAGATGGATTTTCTTCGACCAATTTGATTGGATCAGGTAGTTTTGGTACTGTTTTAAAAGCATTGCTCCCAATAGAGAACAAGGTTGTTGCTGTGAAAGTTTTAAACCTACAGAAACGTGGAGCCATGAAGAGCTTTATGGCAGAGTGTGAATCCTTGAAGGATATAAGGCATCGTAATCTTGTGAAACTATTGTCGGCTTGCTCGAGTATTGATTTCCAAGGAAACGAATTCAGAGCTCTCATATATGAGTTTATGACTAATGGAAGCTTGGATATGTGGCTGCACCCAGAGGAAGTTGAAGAGATTCGAAGGCCCTCAAGAACTTTGACACTTCTTGAAAGACTTAGCATTTCCATAGATGTGGCTTCTGTTTTGGACTATCTTCATGTTTATTGCCATGAACCCATAGCTCATTGCGATCTCAAGCCAAGCAACGTCCTTCTAGACAATGATCTAACCGCCCATATTAGTGATTTTGGTCTTGCTAGAATTCTCCTCAAATTCGACAAAGACTCCTTCCTCAACCAACTTAGCTCGGCCGGAGTTAGAGGAACCATCGGCTATGCCGCACCAGGTAAAATATCTATCACAGAATTTTCTATTAAAAAAATTAGTACATTTGTTTTTCATTACCATCTTTTTGTCGTTGTTTCTGTGTACTATGGTGCAGAATATGGAATTGGAGGACAGCCATCAATACATGGTGATGTGTATAGCTTTGGGGTTCTTATTTTGGAAATTTTTACTGGAAAAACACCAACCAATGTGTTATTTGAGGGGACTTATACACTACACAACTACGTCAAGTTGGCGTTGCCAAAGGGAGTGTTGGACATTGTAGACAAATCGATTCTTCATTGTGGTCTCAGAGTCGGTTTTCCTGTTGCTGAGTGCTTGACGCTTGTTTTAGAGTTGGGACTTAGGTGTTGTGAAGAATCTCCGACGAACCGTTTGGCAACAAGTGAAGCCGCAAAAGAGTTAATCTCAATTAAAGAGAAATTCTTTAACACCAAAAGAACAGCCAGACGCTGAAACGTTTATGGTTTCATCAACAAACCTTGCGACCCACTTCAAAGGCGTAATCTATGAGGCCTATATCTGTGATTTGTTTTTTTTCTTTCTTATCCTCTGTTTAGGCTATGTTATCTATAGAAAAGATTATTGCGTTACAAGCTTTACATTACACTACAAGAAAACATGGATTTAGCGACTACACTAATAGTAACAAAATCGTCGCTAAATACATAATTACGATTGTTTGGCGACTAAAACACGTAGTCGCTGAACCTTGCGTCGCTAAATTAATATGTCGCATAACAGTCGCTATTTGGCGACTAATAGGCGACCATTATTTGCAGTCGCTATTCAGTCATCACACAGTCGCTAAGTTTGCGACTCTTTTGGCGACTGTTTTGTGACGAATCTAGCGACTGTTATGTCACTACATGGCGACTATTTTCTAAATGTTTTGGTAACTGAATTGATACTACTTTGCGACTGATTATTATCGATTTAGAATGCTAATTTTGGAAGAATATATTGTTGCTAGTTTGATTGTTATTACCAATTTATAAGCAAAAAAGACTTCTATTTAAAACATAAGAACATTGTAAAATAAAACACAACATAAACATACATTATAAACATAAGAACCAAGTTCAAGTAACCAAACAACTTACACAAGTTTTCAAACCAACACAAATGTTTTCAAGTTCAGAGAAGGAGGGAAAGTTTAGAGAAGGAGGGACCTATGGTTGTTGAGCAGTAGGAATAGCAGCAGTAGTAGCAGCAGTCGTGGCAGCAGCAGTGGCAGCAGTCGTGGCAGCAGTAGTGGTATCAGTGGCAGCAGATTGAGACTTGAGGAAGGCCATAAACTTTGGGTCAGTCTCGCTCAAATACTTCTTCACCATCGCCAAATGCTTGATCTCAGCTGCTTGCTCAGCTGCGACCCGCAAAGCCTCTGCTTCACGTTCTGCTTGGAGCGCTGCTTGTTCCTCTATCTTCCGGTTAGCATCCTCAAGCTGTGATTGGAGTGTTGTGAAAGAAGAACTGCTTCCTGGGTACTTGCGCTTCCCGTTGATGTAAACCCCGAGGCTGCCAACACCAAAGTATTCTCCTCTGTCGTTTGTGACAGTAGACTGCATACCAAAAGAAAGAGTATTACACAGTTAGACTGCATAACAAAAGCAACCATAAATAACAGACTATTTACCTGAAGGAAGATCTCATCATCCTCCTCTTGAGATAGCTCAGATCGTCGCGAAGTCCCATCTGCTTGTTCATCATTCTCTTGAAGGGCAGCCAACTTAGCTGCCTTGTTCTTGAGATATGTTTCATGGACTTCCTGCGCCTTCCTATCCACAAAAGTCCCATCCTTCTTGGTATGAGTCCTGATGAAAACTTCACCAATAGTAGGAGGTCTTCCCAATTCAACTTCCTGAAACAAAGTAAATATATAGGTCAGAATGTAACTAAGTAATCTAAAACTAAAACAAAGTAAATAGGTCAGAATGTACCATCTCTTGCTCTATTTGTAAAAACGACTTTGGACCAGAAACATGCTTGTGAGGACCAAGACCATTACGGTCAGACATCCTAGCTGCTGATGTGGTTGAACTCTTTGCTAATGCTTCTTCAGTGTCCCAATAGGCACACATCTCTATCCAAAGTGTTTTCTCGATCCAATAAGGCCTCTCTCGTTTTGAACATGCCTTGCTAACCATGTCTTTCATCCGCAGCTGACAAATCTTGTAGAATTTAGCTTCAACAACACCTGTTACTGAGGGATGCCAGGTGTGTAGTTTCTACAAAACAATAGTAGAGTTTGGTGTTAGTGATCAAAAAACAAAACAAAAGTGTAATTACATAAGTATAAGAGGAGACAGAATTTTACCGCGAATTCGAGGAAGTATCTTTCTCTTCTACCAGTAGGCACACAGCTCCAACTGTAATATGGCCCATCAAACTTGTTTGTGAAACATTTAGTGATCTTCCGGGTCAGCTTTCCATTGTCCTTACCAAACCTACAATCACATAAACCAGTTAGCTTTGATACCATCCATAATCTATAAACAAGTAGACCTAATCAAATACAAGCAGACTCTAACTCAAATTATACAACCAGACTCTACTTAAGTTATACAAGCAGACCAATAAAGCTAATACTATATACTAACAGACTCTAACTCAAACTATACAAGCAGACCAATACAAACATAATCTATATACTAACAGACTCTAACTCAAACTATACAAGCAGACCAATATATAAACTAACTCTTAACAAGCAGACCTATATACAAGCAAACCTAACAGACTATAAGACCAAAACATGCAGACCAATAAGAAGACTCTACTTAAGTATTGAAAATGTTTACCAAGCTAACCTATTTACCTAATCTATATACAATCAGACCTATATACAATCAAAATTAAAAATGTTTACCAAGTGGTTTCAGGCTCGAGGTTGGGAGAGATGACGGTGGTGTACTTCTCACGGCCTGGGATGAGAAGTGTAGCATGTAAATCCGCGAGGACATCTTCTGGGAGTGTTGAATCCCTCAACACATCTTCTTCAGATTCACCTTCAGCTTCCTCATCTTCAGATTCCTCGTGTGAGTTTTGAGCCTGAGAACTATGATGCGATACAGAGGCTCGAGGTTGAGGAGAAGGTCTTTGTTGACGAGATGGTATTTGTCGATTCGACGCTGCAGGCTGAGTCGACGCTGGAGGTTGAACCGGCGCAGGAGGTTGAACCGGCGCAGGAGGTTGATTCGACCGAGAAGCTAGACGATGAATAGATCCTACAGAGCCTCATCCTTGAACAGATCCAGACCCTCGAACTTGAGTAGATCCAGATGCCCGAAATGGATACGACCCAGAGCCTCGAGGAGAATCATCGCCGGACTGGAACAGCTGCGTCGGAGGAGGATAGTCTCTATGAGTCGGAGGCTGAGACTCTAGGGCTACATGATTTACCGGACTTTGCTGAGTCTCTGGGGCTTCAGGATTCGCCGGAGTGAAGGTATACTGGCTAGGAAGAGTACTGGGTCTTCGATTTGACGTCCAAGAAGCAGTGGGTCGATTGGCGACAGGTCGATTTGGGGAAACCTTCGGAGCCCTTCCTCCTCCTCCTCTTCCTCTCTTACTTTTTCCACCACGAGGAGCCATCGAGAGAGATACAAAAAAGGATTAAGAAGATGAAGGATTGATAGGATTTAGAGAAGAATTGAGGGGAATTAGGGTTCTTCAGTGAAGAATTACTCGTCTGCGAAGGGAAAAGAGGATTAGGGTTTTCTGCGAAGGGAAAACGAGATATATACTTGGGCTTATGGGCTAATGTTACTGGGTCGTTGGGCTTCTTGGCCCAATTTGAATGTCCAACTAGAATTACGCAGTCGCTAATTCGTATCCACTGAGTCGCTCCAGTTGGCGACTAAATATTCGGTAACTAATCCGTCGCCATATTTAGCGACTATATAACGACAATATAAATCAGTCTCATATTAGATACTAATTAGCGACTATCGTATTTTGGTTCATATTTAGTCGCCAAAACGTAGCTAAACGGTCACTAGCTGTAGCGACTGCAAAATTAGTCGCCGAATTAAGTCGCTAATCCCATGTTTTCTTGTAGTGATATTTTTCTGGGGCTAATAATATAATGTGTAAGTGTAACTAGAAGCACAAATGGGCTAATCTATGGTTTATTAATTGTTGTTGAGCACATGTTTCGGTTTTTGTGAACCGTCAATGCGAGCTCAAGAACTTCGACGATGACAATAATAGAAATGCAACCATTTTAAACAAGATGGTAAAAACCTCGTAAAGATGTTATAATATTTCTATGTTTCAGTTTGAGCTTAAAGAATTGAATTTGCAACGGAAAGATAAAGCAGTGAGTGGGCCTTGGATAAGAAGTCTAAAAAAACTTTGAACAACTCAAAGTCCTTTGATGGCTTTAAGATAGGCAGGGATACTTTCCTCAACGACAAGGTCTCAGGCTTTCATCAAAACCGGATCTTGGTAAATCCAACAAAATCTTGTTTTAGAAAAATTAACTTCATTTGTGGATTTTCTTCTATGGATAGATAGATAGAATCATAGAAGAAGAAGAGTCAAAATTGTCTTCATTTAAAGTTTATGATATATTAACAAAATTTTCTAAAATCTAGCTAAACTTTTAATTCGAAATCCAAAAACTAGACTTTAAAAGATACATTGAGCAATGTCGTTCTCCATAGTCATCGGTCTTATGCTTAGGTTAAGTCCTTATTTGAAGCTAAGCTTAAGAGTTAAGAATGGACCATAGAGAGTATGAAGAGCCTGCATGTACAGAGAGTGACTTTTGGTGCCACTACAATGGAGATAATTAAAGCGCTTCATAAAAATTGAGATTCAACAATCAGAAATTAAAAACGAAAAACAAAACATCAGGCGCATGGGTTTAAAATAGACATACTATGGGATAAAATTTATCATTGTCTTGGGCTTAGACTCATAATACCGAAAATTTTATTTCATCTAGATCTATTGTCTCTCACCTAATTATCTTTTTATATTTCAGGATAATCCCTTTTATTGTGCTTCAGCAATGGGAAAAATTTTCAAGAGAGGATTTTCTTACTTATATAGACTTGTGGGTTCAAATTAAGGTGATACCTCTATTATATGTATAGGAGAGCACAGTCAGGTTTATTGCAAATACTCTAGGTGCTGTTGTTACTCTGGATTTCAATGAAGAAACTACCACACAGATTAACTTTCTTTGAGTCAAGATCAGACTTGATATTACTAAGCGACTGCGTTTCTTTAGAAGGGTGCGTTTTGAGTCTAGAGAAGTGCCATGGTTGGCTTTTAGTATCAAAAGCTCAAGAGAGTTTTCACTAACCGATGTCGTATGAATCACCAGGCCAGTCACTGCCGGTATTTAGCTCCTCCAGTTGTCCTGGATGATGAATTAGATGTGTTGGTGGTTCCTGTGTGGCAGGAAGGTGAAGGTTCCAACAATATCAATCGACGTGAACATGAGAATAATTCCCTGAGTTCTAATATCTCGTCGTATACGCCAATTTCCCAGGCTCCTTTGCCTGCTTCCCCTGTTTTGAACTAGGATGAATATACTGCAGTTTACCACTCTCAGAGACTCTCATCCTCAAATTCCCAGTCGATTCTGGTCGAGGACACCGAAGATTCGTGGTGGTTCGTCTCACGGCTCGTCCGTCCATGGTGGCTGTTACAGCTTGCGGCGAAAGTGGAGGAGCAGAATGGTGGGTGTGTTCTACTAGTCAAGGCGATTAACTGTGGATGTTTTCGGATTCTAGAGGGTTGATCTTGTTCTGTGGCTAATCTGGATTTGGTTGAGCTTCAATCCCTCTTTAGCTTTCGAGATTTTGCATTCGCCTAACCGGATTAAGGTGGTTAGGTCACGGTTGAGGCTCGCTGATGGTTGGC